GCTGTCCAGCAAGCAGGTCAGGCTCTACCTGAACTTTACCAGGGCAAAGTGAGTCATTCCATAGGCGGAAAACAGAAACAAAGCTATGTTCTTTTCTCCAAAAGAAATTCACATGAAAGGGAGTATGTGATCTCAAGATTTCAGAGAAGAAATGGAGTGATGTGAAATGTCACAGACCCCATTAATGTGTGAAGAAAGAATACCTCATAACATTTTTTTAAAGGTTTTTGCCTTAAAAGGCACATGTGCTCACCAGAGAGAGGTCAGGGGTAGAGAGAGAGTCAGTGAGAGAGAACAAGAGAAATCACCTCCCAGGGTGTGGGCATGTCACTCTTTCTATGCCTCCATTCTCCTCCCAGGATTTTGAGCACACATGCCCACAGGCCCAGCTGTCAGGCCCAGGACTCAAATCATGGTCAGCCACGTGGAGTCCAGTGCCTTAACCACTATACCATCTGCTGGTCCCCCTCACAATATTCTAATTCCACATATGAACCACAAATCCTGCATGACCTCCCAGTGCCAGAGGAGGGTACTGTTATGGCAGCAGGGTCACTTCTGTTTCATATTTATTCTGTTCTTTTCCCTTGACCTCTGTTAAGTGGGGCAAAGAGCGATCAGACTTTACCTTTTTATGTTACCTAGTTCTACTGTCCTCTTATCCCCTGCGGTTCTCACCAGTGCCCTCTCTCTCCTCAACTGTCCTTGAATCCATGACCTTGTTCCTGTATGATAAATTTTGACTTTCTAGGGAACTCAGTACCCTAAAATGGCTGCCCAATTACAGACAAAATTACTTCTACAGGTGCAGTCATCCTTCCTCCTGGCCATCATCTCCTCTCTCCTTCTGCCTCTTCCTTCATATTAATACTCTCTGCCTCAAGCCATCAATGGGAACCCTGCTGACTTCCAGATGACATTTATATCTCCCCTCCCACAGCAACATTAAAGGCCCTTCACAACTTGATGCAAAGTCAGCATTTTTTTGCTCAATCTAGGACTCATAGAATTACAGTTGAGTCATTTCTGAATGAGTCATCCCATTGAATCCATTATCCAATCCATTATCCAACCCACATCTAATCCATTATCAGTACATCACAAATACACCACATTCTATTCCCTGAACATCTCCAACAGTTTTCGTCCTGTTTTCCCTGATTCCACTTTCACCCCTCTCCATCCATTGTACACATAGCAGTTAGACTAATTTTTCTGAAATGTGAATTGGCTCCTATTATTCTCTGGGGCATTTTAAGCCCTCTAAACTTCTCTTTAAAATAAAGCCTATGTTAAGATAAGCTATAGATCCTGTTTATCTTTTCAACCTTGTCTTCTTTTCCACTACACTTCAGCCACTGGGTCTCATTTCCTGTTCATATCTGCACCAAATTATTTATCACAGGGGTCTTTGCATAAGTTTTTCTTTCTATCATTCTCAGATACTGTTCCTCCATCATAACCTGATAAACTGCTATTCTTCCTTTCTCAGAGTCCCCACACTGTGGTTGGTATTGTTACCAATTGTTACCTCTTTATAGAAAGCTCTGGTGTTCTCATACCCTTTATCACAGTTATAGCTTATGTGTATATCTGTATGGTTATAACATCTTTCTCTTTTATTGGACTGAAACAATGCCTGAATTCCTATATTCACCAATATGTACCCAGGCACTAAAACTATGTTTGAGGCAGTGAGTTGTTGAACAAATACCTGTTGAACAAATGAATAACTGATTATAAATTGCAAATAAAACTCAAACAGAAAAACAAAACAGTCTCTTTAAAAGGCTATATATTTCAGACACCCATAGTAATAATTCTAGCCTCAAAGCTCTTATAGAACCCTGCCTCATGTACATCAGAAGTATGTTGAAAGGTTTCTATTTAATTTCTTTAAGTGTGTCATGCTTAAAGCCACGACTATAAAATCTGTCAGGCAGATCCTTCATACTCCCTTTAGTGTCAGTCAGTCCTGCACTTTACTTCACCCATCAGTCGCATCATGTTGTCCTGATTATTCTTGCTTTTTTTTTTTTCTTAATAGATTTTTGCTATAGGGAGCATGGACTTGCTGGGAAAACAGAGAGACAGAAAGCCAGAAATCACTCCCAGGTGGGATGGCCATGTCACAATCCCTTCTCCTCCATTCTCCTCTTGGAATTTTGGGCACGCATGCACATGCACCCAACATGAGTTTAAATCACCAGGTCTGGGACTCGAACCATGGTCGACTATGTAGGAGTCCAGCCTTGTAACCATTACATCATCTGCTGGTCCCATTTCCTGGTTATTGTTTATCCTTGTGTGTGTGTTAATGTTGACACTTACTCTAGTCTTTGCAGTCTGGTCTAGTCTAGGGCACTAGAGATGCCCCAGTGCTGGGAAAAAGTGAGACACCCCCAGTAGCCCCCAGTGCTACCATGGACCACGGTCCTAGCTATGGGAGAGCCCTCTAGTTCTCCCTCATTCTGATACAGGATATTTCTGAGGCCCAGAACAGTGTACTGCTCCAAGGAAGGAACATGCACAGGGTCACCCTGTCATCCAGGGCCCTGATCAGCTATAGCATTATGCCACATTGAAAGCAGACCCACTGCCAAAGAGACCCTACTTACGGGCCAAAAGTACCCTTATCTGCAAATCTACAGGGTCCTATGGACAGCCCAGCATGGTAACACACCAGATGAAACACATATACCTGGTTAGGGGTATGGTTGGGACATGTGCATACACACTAGGGATTATGGGAAGATGCCTATGGCTCCTGCCACCACAGAAGGGCACAATTTCATCCTTGTGTGGCCTCTGAAACATATGTTGCTCACTAGGAACTTCTAAGGTCGACTAATGAGAAGAATCACTACAGATATAAATAAATGGTATTTACATTGGAAAGAAATACATACGGTTACCTTTATTTGTAGATGACATAACCTAGAATTTAGAAAGTCATAAGGGGGACCAGCAGTTGGCGTAATGGCTATGTCGCTGGACTCTCATGTAGTCGACCGTTGTTCGAGTCACGGACCTGGTGGCTTAACCTCAAACTGGACGTGTGTGCATATGTGCCGAAGATCCCAAGAGGAGAATGGAGGAGAAGGAATTGTGGCGTGGTAATCTCCCCTGGGGGGTGATTTCTCACTTTCTGTCTCTCTGTCTCTCTCTGTCTTTCTGGTGAGTGCACATTTCCTATAGCAAAAAAAAAACCTCTCCAAAAAATAAAAAAAGTCATAAGGAATTCAGTACAAACTATTACTAAAATAAACATATTCAGGAAAGTAACAGGATACAAGATCAATATACTAAGATCAATTATATTTCTTTTTTTTTTTTTTTTAAAGCTAACTGAAAGGACGTGTGCACTCACTGAAGAAAGAGAGAGAAAGAGAGTGGGAAAGCAATAAGTACCTCACATGGACCATGGTCATGCTACAGTTCCTTCTCCACTTCTTCTGCCCTCTGGGATTTTGGCTATGCCTATGTGTTTCTCAAGCCAAGTCCAGGACTTGAACTGTGAGGCTGACCATATGGGCTTCAGCTGCCTTAACCAACAGGTCATGGAGCGAATCCCTTATAAATTATTTTAACTAAAGAAATATAAGCTTGACCACTGAAAACCACATTACAAGGCTAATGCTGGAAACACCTCATGGTAATCTCTGAGCCTCCTCTCCATGTCTCTGGAAACTTTATCATCACAGGATAAGGAAAGATATTGTACTCTTGGCCTTTCCATTACTACAAGCGAGCCCCAGGTGAAGTCTACACACCCAAATGTGTATTATTATTGTCTCCATTTTTACAGGTGGAAACCTGAAGCCCATAAAGAGAAGTAATGACACCTATATTTTAGAGAGACAGAAATGTCAGGGACTACTTCTCATCACTCAATCCCTGCCTGTTATCTCATATTTAAAGAATCCCCCAATATCATACCAATAGGTTTTTGTTTGTTTGGTTTTTAGAGGGAGAGAGACAGAAAGAAAGTGAGAAATCATGCTGGGGGGAAGGCCACACAATTTCTTCTCCTCTGTTCTCCTCTTGGGATCTTAGACCTGCATTCTCACGAGCCTGGTGTGAGTTTTAATACGCTGGGTCCAGGATTTGAACCACAGTCAACTACGTGGGAGTCCAGCAATGTAACCATTACATCATCTGCTGGTCCCACCAATAGGCATTTAATAGAGAGACCTGGGTTCCAGAGGTTTTAAGAAGGGAGGCTGGGGATTCGAACGCAGAAGGTGAGGGAGTGCGGTGAAGATCAAGACTAAGTTCTTTGGGTCTGTAGAATAGAATTACTTTAAAACAAATGCAGCATCAGAGAAGACACAGGAATTTGACCAAGGCTGGGTATATAATAGGAAAAGCAAAAGCCAGGGATATACTTTGAACAATATCAAGCTTCTCATAACCCTTGTCTGACCCTCCCAAAATTTTACCCAGTTTTCACTCCAGCCCCCCCATTTCACCCTCAAGTCGACATCAACCCTAGTCAAGATGGGCATCTCCATGTTTGAAGAGTAATTTGGTGGTTAAGAAAGCTCTGTAAAATCCCCATGTGGCACTCCTTGCCTGGTTAGTGGAATAAATCGGAGAAGTGTCAATAAAACAAGAACATGTTACACACACACCCCACAAATAACTAAAGATTTGATAGATGAATCATGAGCACTTTGGGGCATATAAATATGACACTTGAAGTGTGAACAAACTGTGAAATGCACTACCCTATGATCCTGCTATTTTTTCCATATATACATTAGAACTGTTTTCTAACTATGTAATATCACTGAACACTCAAAAATTAGCTTAGTGGGTAAGGACAATTATATTTTAGTGATCACAAGAGTTACCATATTAATCATGGTTTGCTAACAAATTTAAGAGAAATACATTATTTTCTGTGCTTTAGAATGCCCATACAAAATATAGATATGGGCATATATCAAAACAACAAAAAGGAGTTACATATAAGTGTGGTTGACTAAGTGACTCACGTGCGAATTTCTCCATTGCCCCCAACATGTCAAACCAGAATTTAATAAAGAATTAGAATCCAATCTTTCAGTCAAGTGCAGAGAGACCATTCCTCCTGATCAAGTCCGGGTCTCCTGGCGACCAGACTCTGCTGAGAAAACAGAACTTCGGAGTCTATTTGAGGATTGCAGAGCCTTGTGGGAAATGTAGTCTCTTGGCTCGTGACGTCATCAGCGCCGGACTATGAGAGCGACTTTTCCAGATTCCTTCTGCGCATGTGCAGCGCTGGACTTTCCGCCTCGTGGAGTTGGGGAGTTGGTCTTTCGCTGCTGGACGTGGATTGAAATCCTGTGTTTTTTGGAAGGTGAGTTTGAGTGTGAAAGAAGGATGTTGGGCACACTGGGAGTGGAGGGGAGTCCCTTCTCGAAGGTAGGAGCAGAAACGTGGGTGAATGTCAGTAGGAGAGGAGGAGCGCCTTACGGAAGGTGCAGCCGCTGGTTTGGGCCGGGTGGGGAGAGCGACAGGAGCGTGGGGATGTGCGGGTCCAGGGCGGGGAAAGAGGTGACCTGGGCTTTGTATTCAGTAATTGATTTGTCAGAAGGTGGTTGTGTACTTCTAGGTCTCCAAAGGGGGTTCCTGAAGCTCCGGAATCGGGGTGGTCCAGTCGAAGATGACCACGGGGTAGGGAGGTAGGGAGGGCGGTGGAGGGGAGCTCTGTAGACAGTCGGAGCCTGTGTGTGAGTGTGAGAGAGAGAGGCGACAGTCAGCACTGAGTTCATTTTCCATCCGTGCCACAGGAGCCTGTCGCTTTCCTATATCTTATTCCGTTTACCTGCCTGTAATAACGTGCGGATTTCCGGTACTGCTGAAATTCCCCCAGTTGCTCAGGGAAGTAACTTTTGAATCTTTGTAGACAGAGGCTTACTGAGGGGAACCGTGTTGGTGCTGTGTCTTGGATTCCCAAAGGAGGTTAAGCTTATAGTCCCCGCCTGGACTCGTGCGGCCTACATTGCACTTCCGGGTAAGTTTAAAGAATTTTATGCAAATACATATCCCAGCTTCCAGGGTCAGTGCTTTCTATTAGGGACTTTGGATTGTGGGATGATGGTACCGTTTTCTGTGGAATAAAGTCTGTATAACAAAGCTAGAAGGAGGGTCTGCTATGGGATAGGGGTCTCACATGAACGAACATCCCTAGAGCCTGAACCCTGCACTAGTGCTTTAGAACGGAGGCAGAAAAGTCTGGAAAGGGAAAGATTGTAGTTTTCCATGGCCAAGTATTAGTAATTATTGTTCCTTCTTCCTTGCGTGAACAAAATTTGCGTGGTATAACCTCCTCTTCCAGCTATCAAACACTGAATAGTGTTCAGAGGTTTAGATCATATTTCAGAAGGGAGAGGAACTCTGGCTGAAATGGGTAGATAAGGCCCTAGAAAATGTTATTTACTCTTGAGGGATTGAAGGTGTGCTTTGGGCTGTCATAACTTGTGATACCTTAGAAAGTCTGTCTATATTGCTCTCTAAAAATTTACACTTTATTCCCAAAGTTTGCCTTTATTGTATCTACCATCTGAACTGTCTTAAACCTAGTCTGTCACCAAATATGGTAACAGGAGATAAGGTGATGTTTTCTCTATTCTGATAAGTCTTTCTGGTAATTAAGAAAGGGTTTATCAAAGTCTTTTCCTTCTTTTTTTTTAAAGAGAGATTTTTGCTATTGGACATGTGTCCTTGCTGGAGACAGAAGCGAGAAATCACCCTGGTGGGGATGCTGCACCAAAATCCCTTTTCCTCCATTTTCTTTTTTTTTTTTTGAGAGATTTTTACTGTTGGGCGTGTGCCCTTGTTAGACAGACAAGGGAGAAAGTA